AACCTAGAATCTTCGAAAAATTATCAAAATACAGAGAATATTTAGAGAAATTAGGAAGAATTGGAAGAATTGTAAGATATAATCCTGAAAGACCTAATAATTAAAAGATAAGGATAAAATAGTATTTCCTATTATAAAGGCCATTGTGAAAAATAGAACTAATTTTTCAACCATTCTAAAGACTACCCCTTGATAATCTAAGTGGGCAGCCTGTTGTTACTTTTAGCAAACCAAGCGTTTTGGCTTTAAAACAGAAATTTTAAGATTTGTTCACTTACATGGGCTTGTAACGGATGAAGGCCATACAAATTGGTTGAAGTTCTATTATGGACCAAACCAACCCAATCCAAAACGAAACTGAGCTTTAACCAATTTGACCCAATTTGGCGTAAATAAAATGGGAAAATAATCATATTCCAGGTGTTATGTTTAACTAATTCAAAAATCAGGTAAATAGTTTGAAAATTTAAAAATCAAGTATGCATTTAATTAATTAAAAATAGTTATTAAATAAAGATAATAAAATCATGGTTACAAATTCATAATTATAGGTCATAGATTTATTTACTGATAACTTATTGTCAAATTAATTGATCACAGATTATTTCTTGGTCACAAATCAAAAGTTTTGTAGATTACATATTATTTCGAGGTCACAGATCATTCAAATTACAGGTTACATTTTATCTATAGGTCACACAGGTCACAATTTATTGGTCACTAATTATTTTTTAGTTACAGACACTTAATATTTAGTCACAAATCAACTAAATAGCTGATTACAAACACCCCACCCGTCACCATCAGCGCCACCGCAATAATCACCACTACCATCATCAACAACAACAACACAATAATGGTTGGACACCACTGTTTCCAGAATCACCATCACCTCACCACCGTCTCCAGAACCACCGCACACCGCACCACCTACAGCACACCACCACCACCACCTTCTCCTCTATCTTTATTTACACCACACCCAACCAACACCCCCATCCACACCAAAGAATCCACAGACTTGCTACCACCACCACCACCACCACAGCGCATCGCCGCTGACCACAACAGCATCACCTGCACAACACCACAGCCACCAACTCGTGTAATCACATGCAACAGCACACAGTACCACTAGTTCAAACTCGTGCCACCAAATCACCAAAACACACCACACCACTCACAATAAGCGCTTCATCGCTGCAGCGGAAAAACCCAAACACAGACCTTATAGGTACCGCCATCTGAAGTTGCAATTGCAGCCATCGCTGTTGCATTGTCATCGCTGCTACAACGACGAGATCTGAAACTACTATAGCGCCATCATCTGCAGTGGTTGAGTGCGATCAGCTTCATCATGGCATCCCCACCCAAAAAATCCCTCAAGCACATATACACCATAGATCGTCCATTTACCGCTCGGCACAGCTCGCCCACCATCTTCACCAACAAATAGTTACCTCACCACAATCACCACCACCACAATGGAAACTACACCACCAACATTCAACACTACAGCAAACCGAATGAAAAGAAAATAGAGGTTGATTAGAAATAAACCCAAATTTCTCCAGATCCACTAATCGAGTATTTTACTTAACTATTAAAAATCTCCCAAAACCTTCTTCCCACGCCAAATCCATCACCAAAGGTCCACACCCAAATCGACCAAAAATGCATCCAAATCAAAAATTCATACTGCTCTATCCAACACCGACAGCGCCACCATCCAAATCGACCTAGCATCTAACTCCATCGATTCGATCTTCTGTATCTTAAAGGTACTCCTCGCTGCGAGAAGCTTGATAGGCAACCCCTGATACGCAACAGCCGTGCGCAACGGCCGTTCCGTGAGCACCGTCGCTCATGCCACTGCATCGGCTTCATCGTTCTACGGCGCTCATTCCTATTGGGTGGTCGAGAGAGAGAGAGAGGAAATTTGTTTAGGTATTGATGAGTGGATGGGTGGGTAGATATATTAATTTAATTTTAGAATATTATTATTTAAAATTAAAAAATTAATTTGCTATCTGATTTTTGTAAAAAAAAGCTTTCAAATTTTATTTTTGAAAATGGATCTTGATAAGCATGGATTATGTAATTTTCCCAAATAAAATTAACTATGGAATTTCTTTCTTTCTTTTTTTTCTCCTCCTCAAATACACAAATGTGATAATGTAATTAATGAAAATGAAACGGAAAAAAAAAAGGTCGTGAAGAATTTTTTTCCTTGAATTTCATTAGGATCGAAGATCCAATTACCCCTATCTCGCTGCACCATAACTTAAAGGAACAATACGTAACTCATACATATAAAAATCAAATTTTAAAGCTAACAAACTTGTTAAAAAAATTTAAAATTCAGGTGTTAATTCTAATTAATTATGTATAATATCTATAATTAATTGAAATTGATTATCCCATCCCCGCCAAATTAATAATATTTCAATGAATAATATCCCTCACCCACCCCTTCCGTCCATCCCGCCCCGTCCAACACCGTCCACCACGCCCCCTTGAAAATAAAAAAAAAATTGAAAATTGAAAATTACGCCCACCCTAATGGAACCACCCTACCTTGCCCCAACACGCAGAAAATACATAAAAAAATTGGAGATTACACCCCAACCCATGAAATCAATATCCCACCCTATCTTTCTTAGGTAGAAAAATCTTCAAAATTTGAAAATAATTTCTCTCTCTATATACCCCATTCCACCCTTCCACCCCTCACTATAGAATTTTTTTTTAGAATTTGTGGTAGATATAGTGGTACATTGTAGTTGACTGGATTTGTGATTAACAGTATTATCTGTGATCAGATTTATTATTTGTGACTACACCTGTGTTATAAGTGACAATTTGTAACCAAATCAATATTGATTGTGACGGTACGTGACCAAGCTATAATTGATCACAATTAATACAGATTGGTCACCACGAACAAATCTACACGCACCATATAGCAACACCACAATCTACCACCACATTATCTGCAATGTATCACTACTACCACCTTCAACTCAAATTCACAACCATAAAAACTACCTTTAATGACCTGCGTTAGATATGACTGACTGTGACCAAATTTGTCTTCAATGTGATCGTTTGCGACCAGGTCAGTCTAATTTGTGGCTCACTGTTAATCTAGTCACAGACAGTCACAATGACGACGAAATTGAACACACACGGTCACAATAAACACGTGATCACTTAGGTTTACCATAAGCAAATATGCATACATCAAATACCAACACCATAATCAACAATCACTAATCACCACAACGACTCCAATGCACCACCACTACCACCTTCAACTCAAGTCTATCATCACCTCAAATTCACAACAACCATCACTTCCACCAACACCTTCAATAAAACACCAACCACCACCATTGCCATCACACCATCAACGAAACCATCACTAACAATTTTAGAAAACACAAGACTCGAACTATCCACCGAGTTAATAGGCTTATGCCTCGATCTACCAACACCGTCGCCGTTAGCCAACACCCCCCACTAGAACCACCACTTCCATTATCCTCATTGTCGAAAACAAAGATTAATATCAGATCCACCTTCAACACTGAGCTTCTCCATATTTATATAAGTAGAAAACAGATCGTCATCCAATCCTATCTCTTCTAGACTTCCTACCGGTGCATCGAACTGATTCGACAGTAGATCTAGATCCTTTAGTAGCTGGAAACTCACCTTAGAATGTCCTCTTTCTGTTGGCGGTGCGACTCTTTGCACAATGTGAATCACCGTCAGAGACTCAGCGCTGCCAAGATTGGTGGTTGCCATTGATAGATATACAAAATATATATAATAAGAGAGAGAGAGAGAGAGAGAGAGAGAGAGAGAGAGAGCTAGTGGGTGTGGGTATAGATGGGTGTAAGAGTTAGGAATTAGTTGGGTGGGTTGAATTATTAGTAATATATTTATTTAATATAATATTAAATTAATAATTTATAATTAACACCTGAAATTTGAATTTTTAACTTAACCCCCTTATTTATGAAAACTAATCTTTAATTCTAGGGGTTTAGGTAATTTTCATAACTTAATGCAAATATATTTCAGCTAGTTGTATATTCATAGTGTAGAGCCAGTTTGATACCCTTCGAGGTGTCAAAATCAAGGTAATTAATTTCAATAAGTATTATTAAAATCAATGATAAAACTATGCTCCATGTCAAGGAGTATAAAAAAAGCTTTCAATCATGGTGTAAGTGCAGCAAAACCGATACGTATAACATCAATGAAAATTAAGCCTTTTCTTATAAATAATTTGAAGCCAAAAATTTAAATCCTTTTTCAACATGCTATTTTATTCACACCTTACTGAGAGTTTGTATTAGTCAACTTCACGTAATTATGAACATCGCAAAAAGAAGTGGAGTAAAAATGAATTAAGTTATTATCGTCTCAAACAATTCATCACAAGTCATAAATTCATGAATTGACTTGGTCCTAGAAAACTCTTGAGCCTCTTGAAACTTAGTGTAAACATTTATGTGCAATCATACGTCCACGATTTCTTCTCAACCCTCGATACAAAATTAGAGAATACTTATTTTTCGATCATTTTTCCTCCCAAAAAAAATAGTTTACGAATCACATACCGTCCATCCTCCTTTTCACACGACATTACTCCATCATCCTTTCTACGACCTGGAAAAGTTTTTTAGGGCTTGTTTGATACAGTTACTTTGTGTTAAAAGTTAATCAAACTTCATTTTTAATCACATGTTTCATTCCGTGAACAACTTTCATCCACTTTTAGCCAACACACCAAACTTTCATTACTTTATTTGCTAAAAATCTACCTAACCCATTGGCAGTGACTAGGCTGAGTGAACGACATGAGAATAAATGTAGTTTGACTGCGATTAGGAACATACAGACAACATGGGCCACGAGAGACATGAGGCACTACTTCAACAGTTCAGACTTAGAACCAAGAATCAGACCCCACTCCACTCGCCACCCAATGGCAGGCCCTCGTTCAAGTAATATCTTGCGAACTCATCGAGGCTACTCTAAAGGCAAGATTTTTTCCATAGTACTTAACTGTGGGCACATGCCCCGTTTAATAAAAATCACAGGGAGTGATTAATGGCTCATAATCATGGAATTTAATTGATAAGTAGGTATAATTCTTGTCTCACTTTCCAAAATTACTTGATTTTTCATACTTGTCTTAATTTCCCAAATATAATTTACTTGAAATCTTCAATTCACTCTGCAGAATTTTTTGTAGTTCACAGTACATTACATCTGTGTAATTTTACCATTTTCTCTGTTCTTCTTCCCAGTTTACTGTGCAGTTGAAGGGTTTTTGAGGCGTGGGTTTGAATCAGAGAGAAGAAAAAAGTTATGCAGCAGCTAGTAAGTACGTAGGTATTTATTGAACTTCGTTGATCAATAGGTTTCTTCAGTTATAATAGTTTCGGATGATTTCCCA